TGCATTGTCATTTCTAATAGTTGGTATCAAAGCAAGGTTCGTGTGTAAATGACTTAATCATTTCAAGAGCTGAAGATGAATATGTTTTTGAGGGTTTTGACATTAAAAAACTCATGTTTTTGAAAATGTTGAATTTTTGTTCTAAAAAACAAGAATATAATTTTTCATTCAATTTATTGACTTAGATACATGAAAAGTTTTTATAAATAATTTTGATTTCAAGTCGAAATTGAACTGAGAAAGAAAAGAAATTATTTTTTTAACATTAGATCTATGAAAATTCTATATAGTACTTTAACTGAAATTAATTTTATAAAAATTAAATATTACTCTAATGCTAAATTTATTTGAGATATTCTTGAGTACATTTATATTTCTAATGATTCTTTTGAAGTTGAAAGTGTTGGCAATTTATCAAATACTGAACAACAATTAGACAAATACTTATTGGTGAACAAATGGAAGAGCTTAACTCTCTTAAACCCCATTTGACTTTCTTAGATCCCTAATGGACCTAAATAACCACACACATCAAGCTTTCATTGAGGACCTTACTAGGGTTGTCGCAAACCTTGCTAAAAGGCTTGATGGCATTGATTGGAATCTTATAACTATTAAGCAAGACTCTAATCCCCAATGTCAAGAACATTGGGATTCCTTTCGAGAACTAAGTAAGGGGACAACAAGAAAAAATGAAGGATTACTAGGAAACCTTAATGGTAGGAATGAAACACATTAAGAATGACAATATGTGACCCTCATATACAAGGACTCACCAATCCTTTGCATGTTCTAGTACCTATAACATTAGGCTGCCTCCCCTTAGGCCTAACCCCCAACCATTTAAGGAAAAAGAGGTGCCTTAGAATGAATGAGATAAGAATAAGCATTATGAATCGGCCACCTAAAAATTGGTATTTTACAAGGAATCAAGCATCAACCACTAAACATAATCGAGGACCCTTTTGATAGGAATACCATGATGATGCCATAAAAAGGATTAAAGTAGAAGTACTTGATTTTGATGGTGTACTATACCTAAGTGACTTCCTTGATTGGTTGGTTACTATGTTATGTCTACTTTCATTAATACAACATGAGTGACATGTAGTGTGTTCGCTTCACAAAAATGAAGCTTATAGGATCCACTAAGAAATAATAAAAGAATGTTCAAGAGAACATAGAATGCCTAGGTCAACCTCCTATAAACACTTGAGTTGAGATGAAGTTGAAAATAAAATAGTAGTACGTGTCAATCAGCTACATGGGCAAACTATACAATCAACTACTTAACCTTATGCAAACTTTTACAGCATTTGAGTGTGTGTCTCAATATGATGACCTTCACATCAAGAATAATTTGCTCGAGCCTTCTTGGATAATTATTGAGATGTTCATTAATGGGCCAAGGCCAGACATGCAACAAGAATTTAAGGTAAATTGCTCTAACTCCTTAGAAGAAGTTTATCATAAATGCATGGAGAATGATTCACAGTTTAGGTGTCCTTCTATTAAGAGTTCTACCATACAAGGAAAAAGTACCAATAGACTCACCACCTTATCCTTATCAATCAAACCACATGATTTTTACCTCAATCAAACTCACAACTACCTCTTAATCAATCCTATGGTCTTAAAGATAACACCAAATAGGCTAGCAAATCCATAGGTTCCAATTCTCGATCTAATGGACTATCTATTGAGTATTTCCATTGTCATATGACAAGGCATATTGCATCTAAGTGCCATCAACATATCTTAATCCTTAAACACAAAGTAGATAATACGGATAAGGCAATTGAAGTTAATATAGTGGTTGACCCTATAGACTACCCTTTTAATACTAATGAGAATATTATATTAGAGGGTCCTAACCCTAACTTAGGATGGTTGAACATTGTAAGAAGTATTACACCTGCCTTATTAATCGAGGACTATTTGATAAGAACTAGTATCTTTTATAATTTTGTGTAATGTAGGGAACAAGAGTGTAAACAAATAATTGATGGGGGGTAGCATTGGAAATGTCATCTCTAGTGGTAGAGTAATCAAATTTGGCTTTAAACTAGACTCTTTTTTGGTTTTTATCCCAAACAACCCCTTATCCTTTACCTCTCCATTTGACAGCTCATACCCTTAGCTCTATTCACAAATGTCATGCTAATGCATATTGCCTTTTCATGATTTTGCTATTGAAGACTACATTAGGGCTCACCTATGCCAACTCTTGGAAGACTTCCCAAAGAATTATGTCAAGAAGTTGCATGCTTGTGCTTCTGGCCCTTTTCACATTGTTAAGAAACTAGGACCTTCTGTTTGTTTATTAAAGTTATCTCCAAATATCCTTATTAGTCTGATGTTTAATGTTGAGGATCTTGTTCTTTACCAAAATACTTTTAAGCCATCTCATTTGCCTTATGTTAATCTATAAGTACCTAGACCCACTAAGTTCCAATTCAATTATAGCTGATTATTACAGTATCAACCTAGACCAATGAAGTTGTCCAGGATGACCAAAGAATCTAGCATCTAGTAGGTCCCATCCACCATTACCTCATTTGTTGGAAGGTTCATTTTGCCTCATATGCTACATAGATCTTTGGGGAAGAGTTTCATAACATAGACTCCTCTTTGTGCCACAACTGCCATCTGTTTACCTCTTTAGTGGAGAGTTCTTTTAACCCAGGGAAATGATAAAATGATATGTGATTTAATTTAGTATCTAGAGTTTAATATTATTTTATTTAGTATCTAGGGCTTATCTTTATATTTAAGTATTATTTCAAATAAAATAAGATATCCAAACTAGCTAGATACTTTATTTTCATCATTTAGATAGATTATAATTTGGATTTGATGTATTATTTTATTATTATTTTAATATCTCTAGGCTCGAAGTAGAGTTAGGATTGTTCATATACATACATACATACATACATATTGAAACAAGATTTTGAATATTGAATAAAGAGTTTTTGTTTTCCTATCTCCTATCTTTTTCTCTCCCTTCCCCTACCCCCTCCCCATTTGACATCACATACACTTGAATGTCCCTTTCCCCTATAGGAGAGTCCAAAAAAGTTCTTGCCAGCATGTGTTAAAACGAACTCGATCTCTTTAGTACAATCTGGTAGTTCAATAATTTTGATTTTGAGTTCTCCAATCCTCATCCTCAACTTCAAATGATTTGTTTTCCCTTCAATTTCTAGCTTAATGGCTGCCATCAAATGTGTAGCTTGACGTTAGGGCTCCGATTTTCAAGTAGTCATTCAAAAATTCAAACCCATAATTTTGATTTCTTCAAATTTGTTTTGAATTATGAAGCATTAATACTTTACAAGAGTAAATGAACTCATGTATGATACGTATTCAATATGATACACGTCTTGTAATTCATGGTACGTATTGAATGTTATAACATTTGAATGACAAGTTTTTTTAAAACAAAATATGTCTTTATTATAAAATTTAATATTTTTGTTATATATTACTTCAAAAAGACTTGCTTAAAATTCAAGATACTTATGCTTGCGGTCTAAAATGTTAAAATACACACACTCATAGTAGTATTTTAAAACTTTGAAAATTATTATATCCACTATATTTGATACATGTATGCATTGATGCTTCTTAAATTTTAGGATATTGGAATTGCTCTGGGTTGAATTTTTTTTTTCAGAAAGTCAACTTAATTACATTAAGATAAAAAGAAGTAAATGAATTTTTGGTATTCTAATAATGTGAATACAGTAAATAAAAAATATATTGTGCATACTTTTTTTTAAAATTTAGAAGTGATAACGTTAATCAAAATGTAATACAATTAGTTTTAAGTAGACAGTAGGACCGGATCTTATCATCATCTATTACCTCTCTACAGAAAAGTGGGGGTTGAATTGAATTCTCCATTTCATAGCTCCTCTTTAAATGTCATAACCCCATCAATCCCGTAACATCCACATAATATTCATTGCAAAACCTTTTTTTAATTAGTTTTAAATGTGTTGTCTAAAAAATGACTTTTATGGATCACTACAAATAAGGCCACTATCATTGTCTTTGTATTTAAACTCAAGAAATATGTTTATAAAAAAAAAGAATCAAGAAATAATATACTCTTTTGTTTTATTATAGTGAGAGAGTGTCTCTCTTCTTCCCTCAGTTCCTGAGCCAAGGAATTTGATCAAAAGATTGAAAATTACCAATCAAGTCCGTAGCAAGGCTAACTTAAGAGATGGGCACAATAATTTACCTCTTCAAACATAAAGCTTAAACATAGCTACTCCTATAGCATGTAAACTTTTAAAACCCCCTTCCATCCAATTTCTTATTTCACTTCCACCTCCACCATCTCTTCTCTTTTCTAACTTCACAAAAGTTCACAATGAAAAACTAGATTCTTACTTAGAAAAATGATGATAAAAGCCGTTTAAAATATATAAATGATAATTTAATCCTTAAAAATGTCATAATTTCTCTAAAGTCTCTAGAGACTTTATGTAATTAATTAATTTATATAAATTATCAAATTGCTCTTATTGAAAATAAATAATTCACAAATTTTATTTAAATATTCACAACTTTCTTTCTTACATTTGCAAAAATCATAACTTTGTATGTTAAATTTATTATTTGTTGTTGCGTTGTTGCAAATGTAAAATGAAAAGTTGTAAATATTTAATCAAAATTTGTGAATCATTTATTTCCAACAAAGGTAATTTGATAATTTATATAAATTTATTAATGACAGAAAAGTTTTAAAGAGTTTCAAAGAAATTATAGTATTTCGAGAGAACACATTATCATTTATATATTTTAAAAAAATTTTATTGTGATTTTCAAATTGCACAATTTTCAAACATGCAAGTCTCGGGAAACATTGAGGCGTACTTGTTGGATTTCTCCACTCTATACCCGTGAAGTTTTATGTCCCATTTGTAATAAAAAATTGTTTTATTTGATAAAATGTCTTGTGTCAAAGAAGTGAATTATAGAATTCTACGTGGTAGATTTTTTACTGGATAAACTTAAAAATTCTCTATATCTATTTTACTAGCTTAAGAGTGTAAGGAATTGAGAGGACGAAAAATGGTTCATATATTTTGCCAAAAAAAAAATTCTTATTTAAAAAAGAAAAGAAAAGAAAGTTTGCCTACTCATACGAGTCCATTTTCCACTGCAAACTATTCTTCAAAAAGCCTCCTTCTAGCATCGATGGCCTGAACATTCACAACATCACACAGTCAAAAAAAAAAAAATGCCTTCATAATCTAAACCATTTAAACGATTAAACCCAGCTCATTACTTGTGAATAGTGTGACTCATTATTCAAACCTTATACCGTGCACTAGAACCCACCTAATGTATAAATCTAGCTAAATCTTATTCCCAATAATTTGAAACTTTCAAACGACAAAAAATCAGTGCATTTACCTTCTGTTTCCAATCTATACGGCATGTAACGATTGAAAGAAGAACAGTTTGCACAAAACAGCCAAATTGAATGCCAATCCAAAGGCCTTTTCCTCTCATCTTGACCCAGAAACTCAGTATACCAGCCACTGGAATGCCACAAAAATAATAGGCTCCAAGGTTGATGTAAGCCCCAATGTGTTGCCATCCACATCCTCTAGCAATCCCTATTCCAAAACACAAACTCAAACGCAAAAATAGGTAGAGGGTCTATTTTTCTTTCATGTACTTTATTTGTTAAACTTAAAGATTTATTTACCTGCAAGAACACCTTGTAAGCTGTCCAATATAACAGAGACACAAAGCAGAGGAGCCATGACAGTTACATAGTCAATAACTTCCTTCTCATTGCTGAAAATATAACCATAAAGATGACGACAGAAAAACAAGGTTGAGCTTATGACTGTTGTTTCTAACACCGCCAGTGACATTGATGCTACCACGGCCACTCGTGCAGCATCTGGATTCCCAGCTCCTAGTTCATTTGAAATCCTTGTACTGCAGTGTAGTCATGAATAAGAATATAAGATACATAACATTAGTATATATCCTTGTACTAAAGGATGATTTTGTTGTTTTGCTACCTTGCTGCAGCGCCAATTCCATAAGGAATGGTATAGAGCGTAGAGAGGGTGTTGAGGCTGCAAAAGGAGGATTACAAAGTTAGAACAGTCACAGTATTGAGATTTTTGAAGGAATGTCATGCGAGAAAGTTGGTGGCAAAAAGAAAATTGCAGATAATTAGTCTCAGTTTCTGAAACGTACCATACTGATAGAACTGAAGTTTCAAGTTGTGGATTTGGTAATAGCCCAGACGCCAAGATCAGCAGCTCAAATGACCACCATTCCAGGCTAAAGATAGCAGTCAATATGAAGATAGTACATATATAATTTAGAAATAAGTCCATGAAAAAAAAAGATAAAAGAAAAAATAAACTTACCACATCATAACTGCAGAAGGGACAGAAAATCTCAAGAACTCCCCAATTCCTCTGAAAAGCTCCATGGAAATAGGAGCTCTTGTCTTCTCACAAGTGGAAGAGTATGTCATGTATAATGCAAGAACAATCACATTTGCCCATATACAAATATCAATTGCCAGTGCCGCACCAACACTGTTAAGCCCAGACTTGAACACCAAGGCCCAACAAAGTGGGATATCAAGAATAAGAGTGGTAGAAGAGCTTATAAGCATGGGAATAACCAAGCTTTGCATTTGGTAATATCTGATTAGAGGTTGCATAAATGCAAATCCAAAAAGTGAGGGAATAAGCCAGGTTGTGAACTTGCCTGCTTCATGTGAAATCAGAGGATCCTGACCTATGAAAACTAGGATCTTTTCCATGTAGATCCAAACGAGAGATAGCGGAACACAAACAAATATGAGAGAAAATATGGCAGTGTACGTTAGCATTCCTAGTTTTTTATACTGCTTAGCTCCATAAGCTTGCCCACACAGAGTTTCTAGTCCGCTTGCCATTCCCACCTGTTTGGTATGTACAGTGACCAATGAATTAGTTAAAACTTAAAAGCAAATTCCAGCCAGGTAAGAAATGGTAGTAATCTCAATTTAAACGAGTCAGTAATGTGTAAGGTGAGGAAAGTAATCTTTATCTTGAAATAGCTTACATGTGAGGGGAAAAAGAATTCCTAAAGAAAATAAAAAAAAATCTTCTATTCTTTGAGTATGTGAAGAGCCAACCTTAGATAGCTAACGACTTTGGAGATCGTCCTGTAACGAGATTTTTTTGATAAATTGTACTTATGCGTTTGCATAATATTTTAATCCAAAATTCTTGTTATTTTGAGTGCGCACCGAATTATTTCCATCTTCCATGATTTTTGGACTGTAGTCACACAATATTTGTCCCCAGTGATTTAGGTTGGTAATGTTTAATTGTATACGTCAATCACTTCAAGAATGGGTTCACATAAATTTTTGGGTTGGTGAGGAAAAATGATCATCACAAGGACATAACAAGGCCAAGCAATCAGCATGATTTCCGCGCAAGGTGCCCGATGCAGCTAATTCAATGAATAATATTGAATCAGTGTTTTACGCAAAAAGAATCAATAACACAGTAACAACGATAAAACGACAAACGGTCAATTTGCATGCCCCCGCCATGATTGAAAGTTCCGCACAGAACCAACAAAATGAGAAAGAATCAAAAGGACAAGACTGCAAGATAAATTAAGAGCCACAGTGGACCTTCATTTTTAGCGAATATGAATCGAAGAATGAAACAGAAATGAAACCAGAAGATAGTGAATATAAAGAAGAAAAGGAGGAGGTTAACGAGAAGCATACGAGAAAACTGTAACCGGTGACGGAGGCGATGGATATAGCTAAGGCGGTACCGGAGAGAGAGAGCTCATCGAGGTGACCAGCCATCATGATTGAAATAATTTGAAGAACGAACTGGGAAGAGAGAACAGGAATCACAGGTCCTGCTATGTAACTAATTCTCTTCACTTCTTGACCCCAACTGATCCATGTGATAAGCTTCTCTGGTTTCTCCTCTCTGTCTTTTGCTAGTAGACTCTCTTCCATCTCTTCTTTCTTCTTTCCGATAAGCCTTTACACTCTCGGAGTCACCGTTCTTACGAAGGGGGGAGAGAGAGAGAGGCTGATGGCTAAGTCCTGATTTTTGGCATGGTGGCTGTGCTGCAGGGGCATATATGATAAGCCTTTTGAAGGTTGTCAAAAGTTGTTTTTCTAGTTCTTTTTAATAAACTAAAGTTACTATCTGATTAATATAAAAGTTAGTTGAAATTAACCTCAAATCATATTTTAAAAATAAAAATTTATTAAATTTGCATTTAAAAAAATTAATTAAACTTCTAATAAACTTCCACATCAGTATGATAAATACTTGATAGCAGAATCACACTTCAATTTGATTTGTTGCATCAAACAATGCTTCAAAAACCTCTTGCTTGGATTAGCAGATCAACTCTAATTTTTTTTTTTAACATTAATTCATAGTTTATTAAGATCTTTCTTTTTTCTTGTTTTCATCTTTTTTTTTTCTTACTCTTGGACTACTGTACTTTTGCTCTCTTTTCTTTTTAATATATTAATTCTTTTTTATTTTTTTAAAAAAAGGTAAAGACCGAATCAGATTTGTGTTTCAGATGGCATGGTTCATAACTGCCCGTGAAAACGCTGACGGTGTTTTTGTTTGTGTATTGAACGTGTTTGCTTTGTTTAATTGTGTGGAGGTAAGGAATCTTGTGGGCCACAATTCGATTGATATAAAGGGAATTTTACAAATATAATCTATATTATAATATCAAACTAAATATATAGTTTAACATTTATTATATTTTTATATTATAATTAATTTATTATATTATATATCAATAATAAAACTCTTATAAATTTTTAAAATTTTAATAATAATCCTCTTATACATTAATAATAAATTTCTTTTGTATCAATGTGAATAAGTTATACTATTAAATTTTTAAAAATTTTGCCTATATTTCAAAAATAAATTTAGGAAAAATGACAATTAGCAACCTTGTCACTAATGATAATTGAAAACATCAAAATATTTAAATATCATAAAAGGACTATGATTTCTATTTATAAAATATTTTTATTTATCAAGATAATTAATAGAACGTTACTTTTGAATTTTAGGAAAGTTAATTATGAATTTAAAGAATATCACTTATAAATATATAAAAAGTCAATTGGGAATGAAAAAATAATTTCATGAATATACATACCATTACTTGTTTGATACACCACTTGTGAATTTATGAAAAGTCATTTGTAGATGGATATTTAAAAATATAAAAAGATCCCTAAATTATTGATTTACAATAAGACTATTTATATTCATTACAAATGAGGTCTATGTATTCACAATATTTCTTAAATTCATAACTAACTATCCTAGAATCACAAGTATACATAAATCTATAAAACTATCTATTCATTCATGATTGAATTTTCATTATTGACTTTCATAAAATTTATAAGTGACTATTCTGAAATTTATAAGTGATGATGCATAATTAAATTCATAAAACAAACTATTTGTTCACAATTTGTTTAGCCTAAATTCATTCACAATTGACTTTCCATTGATTCAAATGTAAGATTACTTAAATTCACAACTAACTTTATTTAAATTAAATTTATGAGTCACATTTTCATTAATTATTTTAATATTTTTTAATTACAAACAAATATCATGATCCTTCCATGACATTTCAATAATTTGATATCTTCAATTGTCATTAATGTCTTTATAAAGTCAGTAATTATTCTTTTTCCATAAATTTAATTAATTTTGTGCTTATTAAGGCATAATAATTTTATTATTATTTCACCAAAAAAAATAATTATATTCTTAAAAAGTTTTTTTAAAAATTAGGCGACTTCTAATTTTACATTTCTTTGTAATTAATAATCATAGTATTAAATTGTTGGCAAGGAATTCAAACCATAATAAATAAAGAAGTGATATAATTAAAAAATTAATTACTCTAATTTATTCTTATATTACAAGGGAAAAAGCCTTTCAAAATTTGTTTTACATAAAGGAGTGGAAGATATAAATAATATGATAAAATGAATCTTTATATATTGTAAGTTTATCATGGGTACTATTCATCAACAATTGAATGAACAGTAATATATTTTTTTAAAAAAAATTATACATTGAATGAGAATATAGCAGCAAATAAAAAAATGTGAAGGACCAAAGTAGAGACATATCATTTATAGACACACCAAATAAAAACTGCTTTTAGTTCTTATATATTAAAAAAATTAATTGTTGAATAAATTCAAAATAAAATAACAACTCATATTATAAAATATAATATAATGTAAGGGATAACGTGTAATAAAATAATTTATGTGGTGATAAAATAAGCTATGATTCATATATTTGAATGCATAAATATAAATAAATAATCTAGGGTAGATAGAATTGAAATAACTCAATTTTTTTTAAATTAATAGAATGATTATCTATAGATATTACGTTAGGCCTAACTATTCTAAATTAATAAATAGAAATGAATCTCTCTTTTATTGAATTTAAAAAATATAATAAATTTTCATCCACTTTAATTATCTTTAGTTATATTATATAGAGCCTATCCATTCTACGGGAAAAAAAAGGATAAGAATAAAAGGCAACAAATCAATTTACCTCACATATCAAATCTGTTATTAATATATGAAAGAAGAAATATTTAGATAAATTGAGTGTACCACATTATTTATAGTTTATCCAATTAAAATCCTCCAAATAATTTAAATAAAATCTTATGTGATATTTTTTTAATTAATTTCATTTTTATAACAAAATGCACATTTGATTTCTTGCTTTTTATCTCTTTACTATTATTAATATCACAATCAATTTATATTTAATGTCACCTAAATGTCATGTTTTTATTGAACAGACCACAAATCACATTAGGGGTGTGATTTGGTTTTAGACAAAAATCAAACCGAAGTGGACCATTTGGTTTATTCATATCTGGAACCTAATCGATTTTTATAGAGCTCATTTTGGTTTAGTTTTATTTTCGAATTGGTTTAGTTAAGGTCTGAATCAGGTTTCAATACACTTATTTAATTTTTTTTCCTTTTTTTCATCTTCATAATGGTGCTATATATTAAAATTAAATCTAATTCTTTTTGGCTCTTTTTTTTATAAATAGAGGTATAAAAATACAATAAAATTTTAATGTAATAACAATAATTAATCACAAAAATTGATATAATTTTTTAAGATTAAAATTATTTAATATTATGCATTTTTATTTAAGTCTTTTGAAAATGTTTATCTATGTATCTATATTTTATTAAATAATGAAAAACGTATTATGTAAAATTCAAAATAAAATGCTTCTTGTAGATAAATTGAATATCGAGGCTTTCAAGTTGTAAATAATTAAATGATAGTCATGCCATAATTATTGTAATTATTTAATATTATGCATTTTCATTCAAGTCCTTTAAAAATGTTTATCTATTACTATAAAAAATTTAAAACAAAATGCTTCTTGTAGATAAATGGTTATATATTTTATAAATAAATAAATAGTATTTGTTAATCAGGTTTGGTTCGGTTTCTAGTACTCAAAACTGAACTTGAATCGAACCAATCAGTTTTCATATCATAAAAACTAAAGCAGACCTGATTGTTGTTCGGTTTTGATCGGTGTTGAACACCCTTAAATCACAAGGTGCATCCGGTTTATCCAATCATTACTATGTCACCTCTAAGGTACATATCACCCACCATGTAACCTCCCTGAGATCAAACCGCAATTAACTTCAAATCATGGCAATCTAGGGTTTAACCCTCAAAGGATTACCAAATTGTAATGTTTTATAAAAAGAAATTTCTCAAAATTCTTTTAAAAGAATCTCAATCTCAACAATTCAAATATCAAACATGATTTAATAAATCCAAATTAGAATTTTGAAAGGAAAGCGGAAGCATGAAAATCAAATAGGACCTAAAATAATAAGTTTTAAACTCAAAAATAGATTTTGTGCAGAAAGTGTCACGTGTGCGACAACTTACGGCATATGCACCACGGCATGTCTTCTTTGCGCCATGCGTCGTGGTATGAGGCACTGTGTGCAGCAGTGCATTCCATGAAATTTGAAAGCATCAGTGCTGTTATTTGACAGTACGGGAAGCGAACTTTCGACTTGTCCCAAATCTCCTTCCAACATCTGATTAAGGTGGTTTCGGTGTCTACACAAAGTTTTCTCCTAACTTTAGCTAATGGTACTGGTTTCACATTGAAACTCATTTTCTATAAAAAAAATTGAACACCAAAACCCATTATGACCACTTTTTCACAAAATTTCTCAAATGAGGTGTCTCAACTCAACCACACATGCGAATAGCTCACACCAACCATTCGACCATACTTAATGAACTCTTGTAGAGTCATGCAATACACCCCATACAATCAAAAACGCTTATATCATAAAATCACCACTCAACCCTGATTCACAAAACATGAATTGGGAGGAAATTTTGCACAAAATCAACAATTTCATTGCAAATCTCTCAAAATACATATGTTTCTACTTGCATTGGTATTTTGGTCTTATCCACAGGTTCACAATCAAAATTCACTAACTTAGAGTATAAAATACACTAGTTGTACACAAAATCATGTAAGTAGTGCATAAATCATGTCAAATAATCCTAGTTGGCAATTACATTAATAAGTACACATGAAAGTAATAAAAGAGAGGCATGTAGAGGATTACTCTATAAATCCTAGGCCTCTGTATGTTTTTCCTGACTCAGATCTAATGAGTTAGGTTCTGAAATATTGAGAATTGAGGGATGAGCAACTAAATTTCACTTAACCCATACAGTTGCATATCAATTGTAAATAGATGCAATTAGGCAAATAAGCACGGATAACACATAATACTCGGCCATGGTTCACAAAACTAATAATCATGTGACTGAACTTGTCACAAAATATTTTATCATGTTATTTAGTAAAAACATAACACAAGGTCATAAAAATAACAACCATACGCCCTCAACACATGTCAGAACACAAAACTAACAACCATATGGCCGAACTTATATACATGATCATATGCCAACCTTATATCCTCCTATTACCTCTGATA